GAAGTCGCCTGCAGTCCTGCACTCTAACCACTGTGCCACCGCGGCTCATTACAATCATCGGATTAGAGAAGAGTTTGTAGAAAATGGGGTGAGGCACTTAATTAAGATGCATTTGGGTAGTACTTTAAAAGGTAATCTTGAGTTATTCACCTTCATTCACTGAGAGGTTCTGACACAGATCTGAAGATTTAGGGAAGAAGTAGGCAACTAGGTTTCCCTTGTGCAAATGTTCTGGACTTCAACTGAATCAGCCTCGGCAACCTCAGAGGGTACCAATGGATTGTAGGTGACGTGATCCAAAGCCTTACCTCCTCTGATCTAATACACCCCACCTCCCGCAAAAATCTATTTTCCTATTCCCCCTGTGATTGAGGAAAAGTGGGCCAAAGCACTCAGGAAAACAAGTTTGAAGGGCAATCTAAGAGGCCCCAAAGTATCATACCATTTGTGGAGCTTCAAAAGCACAGAGGAGTTTTAATCCCAGTCCAGAGGTTCCTTAAGGACATTTGGCGAGCCACTGAGTCTACCGAAAAAATCAACATCATTAGCTGTGGTGGCGCAGTAGGTTAGAGTGCAGTACTGCAGGCTACTTCTGCTGACTGCCGGCTGCCTGAAGTTTGGCAGTTCAAATCTCACCAGGCTCAAGGTGGACTCAGCCTTCCATCCTTCCGAGGTGGGTAAAATGAGGACCCAGATTGTTGGGGGCAAGAGGCTGACTCTGTAAACCACTTAGAGAGGGCTGTAAAAACACTGTAAAGCGGTATATAAGTCTAAGTGCTATTGCTATCTTCCTTCCTTCCTTCCTTTTTTCCTTCCTTCCTCCCTCCCTTCCCTTCCCTTCCTAGCAGGGGTGAAATCCAGCAGGTTTTGACCGGTTCTGGAGAACCGGTAGTGGAAATTTTGAGTAGTTCGGAGAACCGGTAGCGGAAATTTTGAGTAGTTCAGAGAACCAGCAAATACCACCTCTGGCTGGCCTCAGAGTGGGGTGGGAATGGAGATTTTGCAGTATCCTTCCCCTGCCACGCCCACCAAGCCACACCACGCCCACCAAGCCACGCCCACAGAACCGGCAGTAAAAAAATTTGGATTTCACCACTGCTTCACAGTGGTTAGAATGCAATATTGCAGGCTAACTCTGCCCACAAGTCAGGAGTTCGATCCTGACCAGCTCAAGGTTGACTCAGCCTTCCATCCTTCCGAGGTGGGTAAAATGAGGACCCGGATTGTTGAGGGCAAGAGGCTGATTCTGTAAACCGCTTAGAGAGGGCCGTAAAGCACTGTAAAGCGGTATATAAGTCTAAGTGCTATTGCTATTATGTAAAGCGATATATTGTTTGCATTGACATTTCCATGTCAGTAAACGGACTGTCCCGTTTCGTAAAATACTGTTTGTGACATGGGGCTGTATCCCAACCCACTCGAGGCTGCCTCCGCTCCTACAGACTCCAGACGAAGCAATAAGAAAAAAACAGAACAAAATAGAATTGTTGTACCTTTTTGTTTCTTTTTGTTTTTGCATCTATGAACACGTGCAAAATAATCTGCAGAAAACATTTAAGCCCTCGGTGTGAACAACTTAGTAAGATTTGCATTCTACCCGCCTGACCATTTTTTTAAAACTTTCTCACAAAGCCTGAAAAAATATTCAGAGATTTAAAAAAAACAGGTTGTGTTTGTGTTTTACTGCGGCAACAATGCCGGATGCAACTATAGAAAATAAACAATCCAAAATTTAGCCCCCCCCCAAAAAAATAGATTAAAGTGATGTCTCGCTAACGAACAATATGTGCATGACTGAGAATTTGGAACTCTGATCAAAAGCAGAGTTCCTAATAAATTAGTTGAAACCGACCAAAAATGATAAAAAAATAAAACCCAGAAACAAAACCTTATAAAACATAATACAAATAACTTTTGGTCTTTCGGTCACTGTAAAACCTTAAGGAAGGAACGATTCCTTCTCTCTTTATAGACAGATATAGACATAAGTATAGATCTCCTGAACATTTTTTTTAAATAACTTTTTTTTTTTTTTTGCTTAGGAAAAAGAAACACACAAATAGAAAGAAAACCTGAAGATGGTTGAAGTTGATCCTGAGAGAACGAGGTTATTCTGAAGAAACTTCATGAATCTGGGGTATAGATTTTGAGCAAATATCCCTGAAAATTACAGGGCTTTGTAGCAGAAACGTTTCAAAAAAAAAAGGAGGAGGAGGAGGAGGAAGAAGAAGAGGAAGAGATGAGAAGGAGAAGGAGGAGAAGGAGAAGACAAGGAGGAGGAGGAGCAGATGACAAGAAAGAGGAGGGAGAGAAGAAAGAGAGGAGAGAAGAAGGAGGAGGAGGAGGAGAAGAGGAAGAGGGAGAGAAGACAAGGAGGAGGAGGAGCAGATGACAAGAAAGAGGAGGCAGAGAAGAAAGAGGAGGCAGAGAAGAAGGAGGAGGAGGAGGAGAAGAAGAAGAAGGAGGAGGAGGAAGAAGAGAAGAGGAGGAGGAGAAGACAAGGAGGAGAAGGAGATGACAAGAAAGAGGAGGAGGCAGAGAAGAAAGAGGAGGAGGCAGAGAAGAAGGAGGAGGAGGAGAAGGAGGAGGAGGAGGAGGAAGAAGAAGAGAAGAGGAGAAGACAAGAGGAGGAGGAGATGACAAGAAAGAGGAGGAGGAGAAGAAGAAGGAGGAGGAGGAAGAAGAGGAGGAGGAGGAGGAGAAGAAGAAGGAGAGGAGGAGGAAGAGGAAGAGGAGGAGAAGGAGAAGTAGTAGTAGTAACCACCTCCGGAGAATTAGGAAACTAAACTGGGTAAGGAGTGGAGGAAAATGGCATTCGTGACTTGACAAAGCCCCTTCCCTGAAGCTAAGCTATCCATATTGCTCCATGTTCTATGATCTGGTCTTCATGCAGTAGAAAATGTCCTATCTCAGGGATGGCGAACCTTTTTGGCACCGAGTGCCCAAACCGAGTGCACATGCATGTGCACGCACCCCGGAGCACTAGAAACTCGAAGAACAGCTGGCCAGCGTGTACATGCCTGTTTTTTGGCCATTTTTGGTTGTTTTGGGGCTGTTTTGAGGCCGTTTTTGGGCTGTTTTAAGGCTTTTTTTTGGCCGTTTTAAGGCCGTTTTCCCAGGGCGGCCATTTTTTCAGCCTGAAAAATGGTCCGAAAAACAGCCCAGAAAACAGCCTGAAAAAGACCAAAAAAAATGGCCTGGAAAACAGCCTGAAAACTGCCTTAAAAAGGCCCAGAAAATGGCCTGAAAAATGGCCCAGAAAACAGCCTGAAAAAAAAAAATGGCCTGGAAAGCAGCCTGAAAAGAGCCCCAAAAGGCCCAGAAAATGGTCTGAAAATGGCCCGAAAAACAGCCCAGAAAACAGCCTGAAAAAGACCAAAAAAAAATGGCCCAGAAAACAGCTTGAAAAAGACCAAAAAAAGGGCCTGGAAAACAGCCTCAAAACAGCTGCAAAAGGCCCAGAAAATGGCCTGAAAAATGGCCCCAAAACAGCCCAGAAAACAGCCTGAAAAGGACCAAAAAAAATGGCCTGGAAAACAGCCTGAAAAGTGCCTTAAAAAGGCCCAGAAAATGGCCTGTTTTGGGGCCATTTTTCAGGCCATATTCCGGTGCTCCAGCGCCCACTAAGACCAGCTGGCCGGCACACATGTGCATGTCAGAAACCAGGTGAGCAGCTGGCAACGGCACGCATGCCCACAGAGAGGGCTCGGCATGCCACCTCTGGCACGGGTGCCATAAATTCGCCAACACGGTCCTATCTCGTCTCCTCATCTGGACTTCAGTCTGGAATCAACTTCTTAGAACATTTTGTAAGTGACTCAAGTCAAATCCCCCAGTGGTTGGAAGATTTTGCTCCACCAAAGGCTTAGTGCCGTGATGACGATCCTACGGCAGGTGTGCCCGAAGTGGCACCCGGAGCCATGTCGCCTGGCATGTGCAGCGGCACCCATTCCTCTTCTCGGTTTCTGGCATGCGTGTGTGCGCGATAATCAGCTGGCCTTTTTCCGCGCGGCAGTGTTGTAAACTGGAAGGAGCTGGTCTTTCCGTTTTCCTGAACATGCACTTCAGCCAGCTGATTGTCGCACGCAGATGTACGTCAGAAACCCAGAAGACTAGCTGGCTGGCAAGCATGTGCCCTGGAAGTTCATTTTCGGGCACGTGCATGCACCCTGGGCAGCTCTTCTTCCGGGTTGCGGCCTAAACGAGCGTGTGCGCACACTGTCTTGGTGCCAAAATGGTTCGCCATCCCTGGCTTAGTGCTTGAGGGAAGCGGGTCTCCAAACTTGGAAATGAGGAGGAACTTTCTGACAGTGAGAACAATCAACCGATGGAACAGAAGTTGACTTCGGAAGTTGTGGGAGCTTCATCACTTGAGACTTTGAAAAAAGATTGGACTGCCATTTGTCAAAAATGGTGTAGGGTCTCCTGCTTGAATGGGGGTTGGACTGATGACCTATAAGGTCCTTTCCAACTCTGTTAATCTGTCTTGAAAAAGCTGAAGAAGCTTCTTGGATGAGAAGCGAAATGTCTTCAAAGAAAAACCAGAAAGTCCAGTTGCCTCTTGGGAAAAAAAATAAAAACCTTTGGGACAATGGATGGAAACTAATCAAGGAGACAACCTTTGAGACAAGCATGACCTGGATGATTGAGCATCTCCATAGACAACACGGACAATGGAGGACCTAGTGAGGCCATACCATTTCATTAATGCATGTTGCAAAGAAGGGTTCTCCTATCATGACAGACTATCCTTCGATTTCCATCTGACGTCTTCAAAGCCAGAAGAAGCATCCCAAGATCCCAACCGCTCACAAGTTCTCAGAGGATCAACGTCATTGCCAATGGGAAAGACCTCACAGAATCAAAGGTGCGCTCAGGAAGCGTTCAGACTAAAATTGAAGTTTTTGGAAAAGAAGAACAAGGAAAGAAAACCCAACCACAGAAATACTCAAGCGAGTAAATCAACCTGATTTGAAATTTCACAGCCGTGTGCTACAAAGTGTAATCATTATTTCTTTTTTTTTGTTTTCTTTTTCAGCCGATACAAAAATAATGTATTGCAACTCAAAAGTGCTTTTCAGTTTTGTTTTGTTTTAAAATAAACAGTTGACTTTTTTTTCTTTATCAAATAAAATATTTACACCATTTTTTAATTATTATTATTATTATTATTATTTTGCTTTCCGGAACCAGAAACGTTCTTCACGCTATTACCATAGGGACGTCGTCTGAGAAACCTGTGATCATTGCGGCTTCGTCGTCTTCATCTCCTGGTAAATCAAGCCACAAAGTTTTATGTTGACACACAGTGATAATGAGAGACACTGAAGACATGAAGAAGCGTAGAGGTGAGCATGAAGGTTCGCTGGGGACAATCCCTACCTCCTCACCGTGATCCATAGAACCATCAGTTTGGAAAAGCCCAATAAAAGATGATTAACGGAGGGATTTGAAGGCTAGTGCAATATGTGGTCTAATCTATTGACTGGTTTTTTTAATATTACCTTTTACGTATATATTGTGATTGGATTTTGGGTCAATTTGGTTATCAGATAGAGATACTCTCACCTGGAATATTGTTTATTTAATACTAGCTGGTAACCCGGTGTTGCCCGGATATTTATAGACGTTGAAGCCTTTGTCTGATAGGGAGCCATTGAGAGGGGCCTTTCTTCCCCCTACTTCCATGCCCATCATCCCTGCCCTCTCCCTTCCCCCTCCCTTGCGCTCCTCTTTCCCGCCCTGTCTACGATCCTGGCACTTTGCCCCAAATCCATCAGGCTCTTCCCCATTGCTCCACTGGAGGGAGAACGTCATGGCTGCCTTTCCAGAGGAAGCTGTGAAGGAACTGACATCACAAACAATTGCCACTCTAGGACACCACACTCACTCTCCTTAAGGGCCCAGGCTCTCCCTTCCCCCTCCCATGACATCACAAACAATTGCCACTCTAGGACGCTGCATTTGCTCTCCTTAACGGCCCAGGCGTTGCAGAGTGATGCTGGAACAAACACACACACACACACACACACACACACACCAGGGGTGTCTTACCCACCCAGTATTTGTTTCCAAATGGTAAGTCATCTGTGTACCAAGTTTGGTTGAAATGGCTTGAGGCATTCCAGAGTTATGCTGGAACATACATACATACATCTTTTTTTATATAGATAGATAGATAGATAGCATTCTGGTTAAATAGGGATGGGAAAACTTATAACTATTTGTATCTATTTCTATATATAAAAAGCCCAATGAAGCTAACTCCCCAAACTCAATAAAGGAACCCAAATTAAATCATTCATTCATTCATTCACCACCCAACTCTAATGGACTCCAGAAATGGCTGCAGTGGAAATCTAACAAGCTAAACCTCGGTCCAGGTAGAGCAAAGACAGTTTGAAGGCTTGATGTAAAAAAATCCAGCAGTGCTTCTGAATTCCACCTAAGCATTCCTAAGACTCAGACCTCACTTACCTAAGTCATCTCCAGAGGAGAATACGGCGGAGCCCAGTCGGGAGTTGTAGTGACTGTTGGCAAAAGCTGTGAAGCTATTTTGAAGTCTTCGATGCCTCATGTACAAGACCACAAACCCAACGCCCACTGTCACTAGTAAAAGAAACAAGACGGGCACCACAATGGCAGCAACATCCTTAGATTTGCCCAATATGGATGCACTGGCATCTCCATCTACACAAAGACAGGAAAGGGGAAAAGAGAAAAAGATGAAAGAATAGAACTCACGAAGACTCACTTGATACCAAGAAGTTCTCAGAATAAGGTCAAAGTCATTCTCAACATGCGATTGTTGAGCAGAAGACCTGACATTGGCCAACTGGAAAATATATGAACATGAGGAAGGATCTAAACTCCCCTCTCTCTCCCCCTCCTCCCTCCATCCCTCCCTCTTTCTCTCTCTCTCTCTTTCTTTCTCTCTCTCGGGCTCCAAACAAGAGATGCTGTGGAGAAGCTGACAATGAGGAGATGGAGACTTTCCTACCTCTTCCCAGCTCACTGTAAAGAAGAGTTGCCGGCTCTCCACACATCTGCCCAGTGTAGAGACATCTTGCTTGCACTGTGAAGGAGTAATTGTGGCCGGCCTTCAGGTGGGAAACTTTGAAGACATTCTCTGTAGTGTTCCCCAGATACGATGTGGTGTTGGTCCCACTGTCAAACATGTGCACCTCATACCCCTGAAGGTGGAAAGAACAAATTCATTTAAGGTGAACGGAAGTACTGTATTTTTGGGAGTATAAGACACAATTTTTTCTCCCATAAAAGGGGGTGAAAATTTAGGTGCATCTTATACACTGAATGTAGCCCCACCCACCGGCCCCCACCCTTTGGCCTCTGCCTTCCAGCAGTTACCTCCTTGCAAGCAAACAGCAAGGAAAAACAGCTCCTTTCAGCTTCAGCACAACCTGATTAGTCTGATTGGAACAGCCTCCCGACTCTCAGCTGTTTTGCACAGGGCTCTGCTGCTTGCTGCAAAGAGGTAAATTGCTGGAGCAGATTTTTTTTTTCCTTGTGCTAATCAAGCTATGCTGAAAATGAAAATGAAAGTAAAGCAGGCTGTTTGCTGTGCAATACCAATAAACCATGATTCTGGCAACCGTGGCTTGGCGTGTTGTGTGAAGGCAACCAGTTTGCATGCAACCCTAGGAATCCACTGAAGAGGTCAAATAGCCTCCCACCGACCAGTACGCTCCCACAGAGAGGGTCTCCTCAGGGTGCCGTCGGCCAAACAATGCCGGCTGGCAGCCCCCAGGGGGAGAGCCTTCTCTGTGGGGGCACCTACCCTCTGGAACAAGCTGCCCCCAGAGATACGGCAGATCCCGGATCTGCGCACTTTCCGCCGTGCCCTAAAGACGTTTCTGTTTCATCAAGCCGGGCTGACCTGACCTAACTTTTTAAAATTGTTTTAATTTTAAATTGTTAAATTATGGGTTTTAATATAGGGGTGTTTTAACTGTGGGCCAAATTAATTTAATTGGATTTTAATATTGTTTTAAATTTTGTATTTTTTGTATTTTATCTGCTGGCTGTTCACCGCCCCGAGTCTTTCGGGAGAAGGGCGGTATACAAATATAATAAATATAACACATAACATAACAAATAAAATGCAGCAGAGAAGGGAAAGAGTGTTATTGTAAGTAACACAACTGTAACCTACCCGGGTCTCATTAAATTGGTTTTCTTTCAGGGCTAAACTCTTCCAAAATAACAAGATGTGGTCATTTTCTGGTATAATCTTTAAAGCATCCGGCGCAGCCAAGGATACTGTAACAAACAATGGAAAGACAGGTGGATATGATAGGTAAACGTAATAGCAAATTCTTACCATGTTTCCCCGAAAATAAGACCTCCCCTGATAATAAGCCCAATCGGGCTTTTGAGCACATGCGCTAAAATAAGCCTCCCCCCCAAAAATAAGCCCTCTCCGAAAATATTTAAACGCAGAGCTGGAAATCAGGTAAGACGGCAAGAGGAGCCCCATCTTGTTCCATGCACCCCAAAATAATAAAGACCTCCCTGAAAATAAGGCCAAGCGCTTCAAAAAAATATAAGACTGGGTCTTATTTTTGGGGAAACACGGTAGTAAATGCAGGGGGAGAAAAAGACCCATTGAATTCAATGGGGCTCGCGCTCTGGATGATGTTCAATCCTTACACCAAAAAATACTCTTTACCTGTGTTGATTTTCAAACTGGCTTCTTTGCTCATGTTTCCTAGTTGTATAACGATGTGGTATCTTCCGCCGGGGTCCAGTCTTTTGATGGTATATTCCACCGTGCTGTTTCGAGTCTTCACCTTATAGTTTCGATCCGTCTTTCTTATTAAGTCTTTCACAGCCACCGCATACAACTGGGGAGAAGCAAAGGTGGAAACTCGGACACGGGAGATGCAATTGTCCTTCAACGTCCAGCGTGGAATATTGTATTCCAGTTGGAGCATCTTTTTAAGGACGGTGTCTTCCAACCTTGACTACTTGAAAATGTCATGGACATCTACTCCCAGAATTCCCCAGCCAGGAATTCCATGAAGACCTTGCATCTTAAAATTGACAAGGTTGAAAGACACTGTTTTAGGGGGAAAAAAGATCCATTGAGAATTTGGCCAAAAAAGGCTAAATCCCACCTAGGACAGTATTGATCTTGGATTAATTAAATAATTAACCTTGGAATCATCCTACGTTGATTCTACGCTAGCATCCTACACTAGCATCCTATGTTGAACCCATCCTCTCTGGCACTGGGGTTCCATGTTTATGGGTTCCAGGGTTCCATGTTTATGGATCAGTTCACCAAGCTTGGTCTGGTGTTCTACCTTGTGAGGACCACAGACAACAAGGTCCCTCAGTGAGATGAAGGCAAATCCAAGCAACGGTAAATGTATCTTCCCCAGATTGGCGGTGACCTCAATACAATAATTCCGTTTGATCTATCAAGGTGTCAGGTTTCAAGGTCGTCTCAAATAAATTGCATTTCAAACAAAGTCTTTGAAGAAAAACTCCTATTTATTAAGCACGACATTCTAAATCCGACTCCATTGAAGCCAACACTGACATCCAGACCCAAAACCCTCCCTTTCCGTTCCCCACTCCCCTGCACTCATTGGCCATCTTCCAAGTCATTCTACCCCTAATCTACTGCTCCAGCTCAAAGGAATTTCCCCCCTCCCATCCCATCTCCTAGGGGATATTATCTCCAGGGAAAATAAGTAGGTGAAAAGTCAAACGTCCCTTTCCAGACGCCTCTGCTTCTCCTTCTTATGTCAGCACTAGAGTAAATGCAGCTTGAAATGCTGACACAAGGCTAACCACGCTCCAAAGTCTTCTCATTGGAGTTAACAAGGTTTCAAAAGAGGTTTCTTCCAAAAGAAGAAAGGTAGAAGTACTCTACCAACCATGGTCATGAGACCCCAACAGAAGTGGGTTTCACATAATTTTACTACCGCTTTGCGGCGCACTGAAAATGTGAGTGCAGGCTTTGCTCATGCACGTGGCTTACACGCATGCACACGGCTGAATACCACCACTGGACCCCAACCATACGTGGAGTCAATGTTGGGCCAAGCTTGGACTGATGCAACCCTCTTACCATATCTTGATCTGGGGAATCGTAAGGCGACTCCCATTTAATGATGGCAAATGTTTTTGATAGGTGGACAGCGTGAAGGTGTCGAGGGGGAAGGCGATTGTCAGGAATCATCTTCACAACAATATAATCTGAGGGTGGTCCTTGGTAGGGAGAAATAACCCGCACCTGGAGGAAACGAGATATCAGTAGAGCAATTCATTCCTGAAAAGCACAATGTGGATTTTCCAGATCACGAAGCATAGCCTGAATCTAACCAACTGCTGTGGCCCGCCAGCAGCCAGCGGATCTGGCAGCAGATTCAGACAGTGAGAAGGTTGAGGAGGAACATGGGCCAGTCCTGGAGTCTGGAGAAATCTCTGACGAGGGCTCTGCGTCGGAGGCAGAGATGGGGCCAGAGACGTATGCAAGTTATCAGCTGCCTTCGGAGTCAGACATCAGTGAGGCAGAGGAACAGCTGGAGCCTGTTCCCAGTGTGTGCATATGCAGAGTTGCCAGACGAAGGGAACAGCTAAAGAACAAGGATCGACTTGGGAGTAAGGCCACAGGTGGACGATGAGTGGCCCCTCCCAGAGGGAATAAAAGAGGAGCAAAAGGGGAGTGGAGTCTGCAGGAGTTTGCAATTCGTTCATTCCTGCATTCTTGCCAAGAATTGCGGCATCTGAAAGATATCGGCCTGGCCACTCTCCAAGCCTGATAAAGGTCGGGAATTGTGAACTATCTTGAAAGACTGTGGGAGAGGAAAGACTTTGCTGGAGAGGAATTCACTGTAAATTAAATACAAGGGGTTTATTGGGACGAGGACTCGGCTTCGTGCTGCTGGGAAAGCCTAGGTGAGATCACCGACATGGGACTATTAAATCTGGTTGCAAACCCGTGGTTTCCATTCTTTCATAACTTATGTTCCACCAACCACTCAATCAAAGAACTTGAATTCCACCATGACAGGAAGAAAAAAGCTCACTCTAAGCTAAGAGAGCACGTTGGACAAATGGTGGTTAAACTACAACTTAGCACAGTGTATTTTTTTTAAAAAAATTGATTTATATGCCGCCCTTCTCCGGAGACTCAGGGCGGCTTACAATGTGGTAAGCAATAGCCTTCATCCTTCACCCCACCCAGACATCTGATTACAGGAACAACTTTCAAATCTCCTCTCTCATCTGTATTTAAATTAACTTTTGTGTACGAAATGTTTTATATTTGGCTGTTCACCGCCCTGAGTCCGAAAGAAGGGCGGTATAGAAATCTGAAAAATAAATAAATAAATAAATAAATAAATAAATAAATAAATAAATAAATAAAGTTTCTGTAGAAATTGTCGAAAAGAATTAATGGAATTAATAGAAAGTCTATCCTTACCAGGAATAAGTACTGCTCATCCCTGTTAACAATCACAGTCATATTGTGGAGAGCTGTAGTCGCATTGCTAGGATTCCGGTAGAGTTCCAGGAAAGACGTGGCATAAAATATACCATATATCTGCCCAGGGTGGAGAGGAAATAAGGAAGAATTAATAAACATGCTAATTCTGCTTTCGTGGTAAATAACGTCCCAGAATCCTTTAGCCCCAAGGTTTTCAAACATTTTCAGTCCATGGGATGAACCAAAGAAATTGCATTTTTTACCACATTCCTTGGCCCGCTCCAGTTGCATTCGACGGCTGTCTGGTTGACCGCTTTGGCTTTCAGGCTGGGGGGGAACGGCCTCGTACCGCGGGTCACCACGTGCGCGAAAGAGAGCGGGCTGTCCCCCAGTTCCGTCTTGGCCCAGGCAGATATTTCATACGGCGTCTGAGCAGTCAAATTCCTCACTGGGGAAGAAAGGAGAAATTTCCTGACAGTTAGAATCATAAATCCGTGGAACAACTTGCCTCCAGAAGTTGTGAATGCTCCAACATTGGAAATTTTTAAAAAGAGATTGGACAACCATTTGTCTGAAATGGTAGACGGTTTTCCACCTGAGCAGGGGGGTGGACTAGAAGACCTCTAAGGTCCCTTCCAACTCTGTTATTCTATTCTGTTCTGTTGTGCATTCTGCATTCTACTCTACTCTACTCTACTCTACTCTACTCTACTCTACTCTACTCTACTCTACTCTACTCTACTCTAGTGTAGTCTAGTCTAGTCTAGTCTAGTCTAGTCTTATTTTTTTCCATTCCATTCCATTCCATTCTCCAGTTAACCTAATCTTGTGAAGCTTTTTCTCCGGTAACATTGTATTGCTAACTAGGGCATACAAAACCTTTGCCAGACCAATTCTTGAATACAGCTCATCCGCCTGGAATCCACACTGTATATCAGACATTAACACTACTGAGCGGATCCGGAGGTATTTCACGAGAAGAGTACTCCACTCCTCTACTCACAATAGTATCCCTTATGCCCACCAGACTTGAAATTCTGGGCTTGGACAATCCTGAATTGCGCCACCTGCGGTCCGATCTAAGCATAGTACACAAAATTGTCTGCTATGTCTTACCTGTTAATGACTTCTTCAGTTTCAACCACAGTAGTACACGGGCAAACAATCGCTACAAACTCACGGTAAACCGCTTCAAACTCGATTGCAGAAAATATGACTTCAGCAACAGAGTGGTCAACACCTGGAATGCTCTACCCGACTCCGTTGTTACAGCCTCAAACCCTCACAGCTTCAACCTTAAAATGCCCACCGTGGACCTCACCCCATTCCTAAGAGGTCCGTAAAGGGGGCGTGTATAAGCGCACCAGCGTGCCTACCGTCCCTGTCTTAATGTCCCCATTTATCTGTACTTACTTCCTTTGTTTATGTTTATACCTATACCTGCTATCTTGTACATGTTTGACAAAATAAAATAAATAAAATAAAACAAATTATTATTTTTCCATTCCATTCCATTCTGTTCTATCATTATTTTTCCATTCTATTCACCCTTCAGCACAATAAAAAGATTTGATTTGATTCAAGAATCCCTGGCTAAGGGTTGATTGGGGGACCGATCTGGTAGTTTTGCTCAGATCATCTTACCTGTTTGAGCTGACTTCCCTCCATCTACATAGAACGATCTTTTCTCTTGTCGGTGGGTGTCAAAAGTCCAGAAAATTTTCACGACGTAGCCATTCACCTGTCAACCAGCCAGTACAAAAATGTGCAAGACGGACAGATCAAATACCTGATCAATTTTTGGGTAGTTTTGTTTTACATGAGCGAAAGAGAAGGGCCCCGTCACCAAAAGGGGCCCGCCATTTTTTTTTTTTAAATAAAGGAGAACCTTTATAAAAGGTGTTTTGAGAAGACAGAAATATTATGATTCTGAAAAAAGGAGATGAAGGCAAAGAGGTTTGACTTCTCCCGTCTGCTCAAGGAGGGGCGTTGGCTTTTGACATACATCTGGGAAATTCATACAGGCAAAAGAGAAAGGATGATTGTGAACAGAATTAAAAACTGGGTGGAGACAATGATAGCATGGGCAAAACACTTTGGTTATACACAGTGGTGAAATCCAATTTTTTTTTACTACCAGTTCTGTGGGCGTGGCCTGGTGGGCATGGCCGGGAAAGGATACTGCAAAATCCCCATTCCCTCCCCACTCCTGGGGGAAGGATACTGCAAAATCCCCATTCCCACCCCACTCTGGGGCCAGCCAGAGATGGTATTTGCCGGTTCTCCAAACTGCTCAAAATTTCCGCTACCGGTTCTCCAGAATTCTAGCAGTAGAATTTCCAGCGGAAATTCTTTATATGCAGAATAAAGAAAATAAAGAAAATTTGTAATATAAAATAAAGAAAATTTGTATAAGATGTTTTATAGATGGCACCTGGCACCGGCGAGGCTAGCAAAGATGTTTAAAGATAAATCAGCTAAATGTTGGAAATGCCACCAGGTACCTGTGTCATATTACTGTATGTGGTAGACGTGTGTACAGGCAAAAAAATATTGGACAAAAATACAAATGTGATTGGAAAAGATGATAAAGCAGCACATTGATTTGAAACCAGAAGTATTTTTGTTTTGGGGGATTTTGCCTGAAACTTATAGTAAAGGAAATGCATATTTAATTATACATGTATTAACCGCAGTTAGAATTGTATTTGCACAAAATTGGAAAAGTGATGAGATCCCTACGGATCACAACGTGATTAGGAAAATATTGGAATGTGCAGAAATGAACAGATTAACGCTTGTTATAAAGGAGAAAGAACAAACGGAATATTACATGACATGGGAGCTATTTTATGAATGGTTGGTGAATAAAAATAGAAGTGAGAAATAAATGGAGATCAGTGAAATAAAGAACATATGTTAAGATAAGAGATGTAAACAATATGATGATGATTATTAATATGATTGTTAAGATTATTATATTTAATATAATATTATATTTTTCCCCAAATGCCATCACTCTGCTAAACAAATAATTCCCTCAACACTGTCAAAACTATTTACTAAGTCTGCACTACTATTAATCTTCTCATCTTCACCCATCTCCTCCCACTTATGACTGTATGACTGTAACCTTGTTGCTGGTATACTTACGATTTATATTGATATTGTTTCCTGATTGCTTATTTGTACCCTATGACTATCATTAAGTGTTGTACCTTATGATTCTTGATGAACGTATCTTTTATTTTATGTACGCTGAGAGCATATGCACCAAGACAAATTCCTTGTGTGTCCAATCACACTTGGCCAATAAAGAATTCTATTCTATTCTATTCTATTCTATTCTATTCTATTCTATTCTAT